AGCCATACATGGGTCATCTTAGATCCTACACCCAATGCAAAATGCTGACAGCATGAATCTCCTTTCTAACACCAGGAACGATCACAGAACTCAAGCCCTTAAATCTCTCCTGCTTCCTCCTCACAAACAACAAATGCAGTCTTGGCCAAGCAGAAAGCCACAGCAAGCACAGGCTTAAGTATCTAACTTCTGGCAGCCAGTAACCTGGTCAGATAGACACTAATGCCGCTAGGAATGCAGTTGGAAGGGAATTCAGGACTCCTGGGTTCCTGTCCAGAGTGCCACTGACTTGATGCAGCACCTTGGACAAATCATTTCTCTATGCCTCAATTGCTCTTTCTGAGCAATGGGAATAACACCTCCTGCAAACATGCTGATGAGGAGCATAGGCAAGGCCCTCCACTTGTGCTGGCTGGAAGGATTCTCTGACACCATGGCAACAAGCAATTAAATATTTAAAAGCATTTTTTTGTGCAGAGTGTGGAAGAGAGTTCAGATTTTTCCCCCCTCCACATGCCATGGGACTGACAGACAGGCTTCTGAATGACAGACACAGGTATCTGAAACAACAGTCAGTCAACTACATACCACTACAGCCCCCATTACCTGAATACCTGAACTTCTCATACCCTCTACTGTATTTATCCTCCCAACAGACCCTATGAGATAGGGAAGGGCAAAGTTCACTTTACAAGAGCATGATAGATAGAGCTTGATTCCCCATTTAAGGGGACAAGCACATTAGCAGCATCCCAAGTAGTCTGTGCTAAAATACTGTAATAATGAGTTTTCTTGTGGGCTTGGAGAGGACTAGAAGGCCTGGAAATGATAATGTAGAATGATGGACAAGACTGGTATTGAGCTCAGGGAGATAAAAAAAAAAAAGAAACAGCTTCAGCAGCTGCAGAAAGAGTAGTCAACAGAAAAACAGAAAGCTTTAAAAAGCCTCCTCTGGTATCTGCTTCCCAACCAAGCTGGCACCCTGCTCAACACCACTTGCAGCCAGAGGAAACAAACACTTTGCAACATACTGTAGCCTTATTTACAATGAAAGCAGGAGTGCTCATGGCTCAGGGATGTGCCATGAGAGTCCTCTCAAGGCAATGAGGAGGAGGAGTGAGTCTCCTGGGGCAGGAAGCTGAGCTGTGTCTGCACCGTCCGACTCAAAGCCATCAGATATCCACTGACAAGTCCACAATCTGCAGGCACTTGAGTCAGCTTCACCTCCTGCAGAAGAAAGGTGAATGGCAAGAAATGCAAATGCACTGGATAGAAAAGGGAGGCAACACAGCAAAGCTGTCTGCCTTTTGTCACCACTGCTGCTCCCCAGGGAGCTCAGGAAGTGCTGAACGCTGGGAACCTTGCAAGATGGCTTTCATTTCATGTCTTATTAACACAGCTTGTGGTGGCCAAGCTAGCTCCATGGCAAAATAACTCTCCCCAATGGGGGGAGACACTACAGAATGAAGTTAGCCTGCATCTGTTTAGTACTTTGATCCCTATGAAAAGAGAGAAGCCTAAAACCAAATGAAGAGCAATGGCACAAAGATTCCCTCTTATGGGCCCATATCTGGGATGGGGGAAAAAGGGCACACATGGGCATGTGTGTTGGAAGAGGAAGATAACTGAAGAGTTCACAGGACTCCATCCAAAGGGGCCCAGGGTCCTAGGAGAAGAAAAAAAGCCATGTGTGTCTGCACCAGACAATCTGCCTTACTGGCTGGATGCCAGGCAGTGCACAACTGCCAGTAACAAACAGAAGACAGGACCACACATGGCAGAGAGGATGAAGGGAGGCTAGAATGAAGGCTGCACAGTAAAACAAGACTTCTGTGGCCAGGGATGCAGGCTCCTTGTTTAAAAATAGCATAAAAGCAGGCAGGAGATCCCACCTCCAGGGCCCCAGATTGTTTATTTAAGGGAAAGAGTTAAAGAGGAAAAGCATTTAAGAAGACCTGTGACTGACAGGAGTTATTCAAACCACATGCATCCCAGCTATCATCACCTAGAGGGCAGAGAGGAAATGCCACACATTTTGCTGTGATCTGGTACCCAGTGCACTAGAGAGGCTTATCACCAGCCTCTAAAGCATTCAGCAGAAACCATTCCCGAGACCAGATTCCAGGCTGGAGGGGCCAGTGGGCTTGTTCCAGTTGGACAACTCCCAAGATCTTGAGAGAGAAGCTGCTTTTCTGAGCTGGTATCTACAAACCAGCCACCACATGCAGATCAGGACATTGCTAACTGGGACATAGGAATACAACACAGAGCACACGTCAATCACGAGCCCTGGGCCTTAAGCAGCAGCTACATTAGTCTCACCAGAATAGCTGAGATGACAGCTGTGCTGAGTGCAATTTCTAGCTATGCCTTACGTAACCGTTTGAAAGCTATTAAGTCTGATTAATGCGTTGCAAAATACATGGAAATAACTTCTTTCCTAATCGGTATGGGGCCAGATAAATTAAAATAATCTCAGATGACTTGGATAGTGGGGGGTCAGCTGCATCCTATGAGAAAAGATAACAGGGGCTGTTTGAAAGCAGCAAAAAATCCTTTCTTCAAAAAAAATGCAGAGCTATAACCTGTGCAGATAGCACCCTCTACTGCACTGCCAGGAAAACACAGTCAAGAGGGAGGGGGAAAAAAAAGCCAAACATGGTTAGTATCTAGGAAACTGCAATAGGATTTTGCTGCATTTCATACTAAAACCCTCAGTCCCTACCAGTGGTAAAGAGGTAACTATTCGACAATACAAGATATTCAACTTTGGTTTGTAGCTCCAGCTTTTGCAGCAATAGGTCCCATCCACAGGACAGACAGACAACAGCCAAATCCAGGAACTGAATTACAACATAAATGTGCTTGACAGTGTTGTGACATGATTGCAGTTTGTAGTATAAGAAACAGTCACAAGACACTTCAGAATGCAGTCAGAGTTTCATCTGACCATGAACTGTGACAGTACTGCAACCACGTTTGAAGGGAATGGTGCTGTAACCCAGCCCTCTGGCTCTGCCCTTTAGTTACAGTGGGCAAATGCAATGGCCTGTTAACAAGGAAGTATTTCCTCACAGTGCTCAACAGCTACTGATGCCTCCCTGACAGCACTTTCTGGGTGCCTGCACCAGAGAAGAGCAATTGTCCAAACTCAAACTAGGGCTATGATCACACTTGATTTTAAGTTGTTGTAACTGTCTTTACTATTTGAAGATAGGAAACTATAAGTCTACCCTATGGATCAAGTAGCACTTAGGACCTATCTTGTGCTAGATAGACTATCAAGACTGCTCCTTGATTTGGCAGCTAAATTAATACATGAAACTGCTTCCCAAACTATTATGACTTTGAGCAGGGGTGAAATTGTCATTCATCCCAATGCCTCAAAACATTAATCGCAGAAAATGATCAGAGCAGTGGGAGAAGAACGAGAGTTCTGCCCCTGGCTGTGCCCTTCACAGTCAGGCTGAGCTAGTTGGTTTCTCTCATTATATTTTTGATGGGGAAACTAAGGCAAAGTGGCTTGCAAACTTTTACTGAACCTCAGGGACCCAAGTGGAAACAGAACTCAGAAGTCCTATAGGCAGCACTGAAAGGATAAAAATATGATAAGCAGATTCCCACCATTGATACGTGTTTTACAGCAGGGCCACAAGAGACCAAGTCTCTGTCCTGAAGAGCTTACAGTCCAATGGAGAAGACAAGGGACAAGGGGGTGAAGGTGACAGTAAGCAACTTGCTCAGAGTTACAAAGCAGGTTAGGGGCAAGGTTGAAATACAAGCATGGTTTTCCCAATTCCCAGGAAATAGGCTGGGCTCCCCTCTACATTCCCAGTCTTTGGGACAAAAAGCTCAGCTGAGCTCTTCTCTAAGGCTGAGCTAGGGCAACAAGCAGATTTGCTCTCCAGACAGGCACCCAGTAGGTGCTAGAGGGGTCCAACCCAAAAGGAGCACAGCAGGCTGCAGCTCTGCAGAATGGGTGCGCTTAATGCCAACTGAAGCAAGCATTTCATGCGTTAACCACAGCAATCTATTATTAACGCTCTGTCTCAAGCCACCCAAGCAAGGAGATTCAGAGCACAGGCTGAAAAGGAACCAGAACAGCTGCCCAGTCCTCAACACGCATCATTCCACTTACAGCTCGCTTTCCATAAGGCTTGGGCAGGAGGCTTCGCTCTGAATGACCTTGCTTGGGATGCTCCCCTCTGAGCTCTGGGTCTGCCCTGAAAGCCAGACCACCTGTGGTGGGTTAACTCCCAAAGTTTATGAAATTGCAGATGTAGGAGTAGATTGGACTAGCAAAGGAGATTATGGCCCACTTCACTGGGTTGCTATATAGCAGTGATTCTCAGTCTTTTTAGACTCAAGGCACCCCTCCCAAACTTTTTAGAAGGTAGTGGCACCCCATTTGAAAAAACCCTAATATAATTATATTATGAATATAATAACCATTATTACTTTACTATATTAAAATATGTTATTAACACTGAGCCCTGGAATTGTAAAGGACAGCACTCAGGTATGACCAGCTCCAGGGACAAGGTGCTGGGCTGCACACAAAGAAGCAATGAAGGGGTGGGACAGGCTGGAGGAGGCCTGGGTAAGGGCAGGCTAAGGTGCTTCTGTGGCCAGGAGGAACTGCACCCAGCTTGGAGACGGATGAGGCTGCCCCGGGTAGAACTGCCCTGGGTGCCTCTTCTCACAGGCTTGTTGGAAACCAACTGAAAAGGTACAGATGAAGTGGTGCACCTGCCTGCATGATGCCTCCTGAAAAACGGAAGGACATGGGGTAGATGGAAGTAGCAGCAGTGCCAGCACCACAGCACCTTGACAGGCTCTCACAGCACCCCAGCTGAGAACTACTGCTATACAGCATAGAGGCATCACCACCCATGAAAGACTTCAAGTGGGGATGCTCCCTTAGTAGGCATGCATTGGATATCTGTTGCGTCCACAGGCTTTGCCCATGTGTATTCAGGTTACCTGAAAGAGGGACTCACCTCTAAGTAGGTCTGACAGTGGAGGACCACAATCCTCTGGAATTGTATAGTCCCCTTTCCCGATGTTTTCAAATAACTTATAGATATTATCCCCCTCAAAGGGGTATAAACCCGTTGTAATGTTGTATCTGTGGATACAGATGGAACACAGTGTAAGACAATATACAGCACTTGAGGTCTAGCTTTTAACACACAGGCTGACAAGCCAGAAGAGTGCTCAGGAGAAGCAGCAGCAAAGGCTCATCTGATTCCATTTGGGCAAAGAGATGCTGATAAGTGGCTGGTGTGGAGAACCTGAGTTCTAATTTTTCTAGAACTTCAAACTTCTGCTCTACCGTTCAGTTTCTAATAGTGGAATGGACCCAACTATGAATGCAGTGCCCTCTCCTGCAACACCTAGAAACAGCACTGACTAAATCTGATCAGCCTGGGGAGCAGCGCACTACTGAAAAAAGAGATCTGTTTATAGTCTGTAAAAGGTGCATATCTACCCTGCCTTTGGGCAGTGCACAACCATCTCACAGAAGCTGGAGATGACCACAGGTGGATGATGGGAGGGGACATGAGGTACATTAACACCCACCAATCACAATGGCACGGGTCAGTATGAATCTGAAGGAGGATAACACAACCCCTCTCCCCCACCCCTGCTTGACTACCGTGCGGGTACTTACAGCGTGACCCCTGCTGACCAGATGTCCACTTTAAAGCCTGAAAAGGTATCCAGGCCATTGGCAATTTCTGGCGGCTGGAATGCTGGCGACCCTTGGCTCGTTCTGCATGTATCATCCTCTGCGAATGGATGCAGTGCCTGCAGCAGAAGACAAGGAATTTTTGTTACTCTTGTATTACTCGGACTATGTAGAAATGATCAAGGATAAAAGCTTTATCCCCATGTACTCTCCAAGGAGATTTGTCACTGTAGATCTAGGTACATGGATATACACAACCACTGGTATCAACTGTATCACAGCAAGAGTTGGTGGTACTACCTGTGGTTAAGGTGGCCTGATGCTGCCTATTTTAAGGCTTTTCCATTAATTAAAACTTGGGCAAGCTGCCTGGGCTGAAATTTTCCATGCCAATGTCTTCCGGTCTGATTTTTCTAGGAAAGCTTTGGGTAAACAGTTCACTAGCTTCCAAGGGTAAGCTATGCCGGCTTGCTCATGTTCAAACAACACTTCCAATTGTTTAATTGAAAAGTTTTAGAACACTGTGCTTAGGAGCCTGGTCTTGGATTTGTCAGTGATGAAAAAGATGCATCTTTTGCTGCCCTGTCAAGATCTACCTGAATTCAGCCTAGTTATAAGCTGCTGAAAAACTTGTTTGCGCATGCTGTGCTGTGCTATATGAAAGTGTAATTAGACGGTCTTAAAACTACTGGAGCTCACCCATTTACACATATACATTAAGGCTGCAGAGGCAACCTTAATTCTGGCATTTCCTTATGTCTGAATGCTTGACTTGGCAATATTAATATTCTATCAACATAGTTAATGCTTCACACTCGTCTCCCTAAGTCCTTAGCATATGTCTACCACCTGTACATTAGAGAAGATGGGTTCCACATGTAATTTCTACATACCTCTGCTACTCCTAAATCAGATATTTTTAGTGTCCCATTGGTTGTTAGAAGGAGGTTTCCTGGTTTTATATCCTTGTGAACAATCCCTTGGCTGTGCAAGTATTCTAAGCCATCTATGAGCTGGCAAAAGTACCTGCAAGAGAGTCAAGACAGAAAAAATTGGTGTTTCAAGGGACTGGGGTGTCATATGAGCTACTGCAGATAAGTACGGAGAGGGAGGAGAGCAGTGTTCCAGGAGCATATGGGTTAAGTCTGGTGTATGTTTTAACACAACAGCACCCAAGGCAGTCAGAAGCGGTTGCTTGCTCGTGTTTTGCATCAGGGCACAAACCACTTGGGACATTAAGCTACTCCACATCAAAGACAGGCTCCCACTCTGTATATTTAGTAAGTTCAAGCACTCGGCTGGCTTGGATTGATAGCACAGTGCTGGCACCACGGAATTATCTGCTTTGAAGTAATGCCGGAGGGATTTAAACATATAGTTTCACGTAGTGTAAGATGTGCTAGCTTCCTACCTCTCTCACATATTCTTCACAAATAGAGCACTGCAGGCCTTATACCAGTGGGCCTTGTTACAACCCAATACAGCAGTGCTCACTGCACTATGATGCACTGAGTTATCATTGGCAGGTTACCCAAGCAGTTGCCCCTTATCTGACATCCAGTGATGTTTGCTTACAATTCTTAAAAAATGATAGAACGAAGTCTCCATAGCTCAGAGGGATGAAGAGCCAGGATTCCCAGTGCCTAGTAGTAGGTAGAGTCACGCTGGATAGTAGTATGGCTTCTTTTGCTGGGGAGGGGTTTGGGAGGTACAGTTTTGCTGTACCAGGACAAAAGGCTACGTGTGTCCATGGGAGGAGCTCTTTGCCGGCACAGTATTTTTGCAAAACCCTCCTAATGAAGGTTCAAGTATTGAGGTTCCTGCAGTGCAAGTCTCAAAGTGGCATGGAGGTCTTTTGCCCAGGGTGCCTTTCCAATGGGCAGCAGGTAAGGCTGGATATTTCTGACCCATCAGCACTTGTAACCTGTCCTCTGGTGATTAACGCTACAGTACTCTCAATTCAGAAGGGGACAGGTGCATTCATAAAATGTCCCCTGCTCCCTATCTCAGCTGGATGGCTTGAAGGTTCCTTTCCTCTTTGCTCCCTTCCATTTCCACACCCAGCCTGAGAGGAGAGTACTGTACATGCTTTCCAAATGTCCCACTCCAGCTGTGGAAGTCAAACAGCTGCTCTCTGGTTACTGTCACACTCTTAATCCCTCCAACCCCTTTTCCAGGTACCACGCAGACAGTGGGACATGTTAGCTGCTCCCAAACCTGGATCCTGTTCTAAACCACTGGCAAAATCCACATTTAGTTCTGTACCACTTGCTCAGCAATGAGATGATGATATCCTTCTCTTAGGCAGAATCTCATTTCAAAAGATGACACCAGGAAGCATTCCACATGGGTCACGCTCTCCCAGACCACAGAGGTGTGACAGGAAATTCCAAGAGATGCAGTTGTGCGCTTAAGACTCTCTCAACCTCCTTTTTGTCGCTACCAAGGCACATACATGGCTGAGCTGTGGGACAGGGGTTAACAAGGCTTTCTAGGCCTCAGACATCAAAGCAAAAGCAATAGAAAATAATTCAATAGGAATAATAAGCTTTGCTTCCCAGAATCCCTCACCAGCTTTTAATTTTCTCCATGGATGTATGCCCTCTTTATTCATAACAAGTTTTGCTTTAAAGAGCAGTCAGCAGCCTTAGTGTCAGCGTGGAAGAACGAACACATGAATTCAAGAGATGTAGCATGGGTGGAAAAGGCTGATACTCTCAACATGGTTTAAGAACAGAAGTTGCACTTACCCGTGAGCCTGAAAGACTGGAAACCTTTTTTCTGGGACACTGTCCAGCATCTCCTGCATCCCACACACGCAATACTCCATCACCATATACGTGAAGACAGAGTTAAGGAAGCATCAAGGTTATTCAACTGGCCAGGCAAGTGCTGTGTGGTGATTGCAGTCCTGTTCCTGTGCTATTGGCTAGCAGCAGCAGAGACCATATTTATGCGTTGTACACACACAGTTTGCAGTACCACAGAGCCTGGATTTGGTTGGCCCTGCCTGTTCCGTCTTTGTCAGGCCAGCATTAAGGAGAGGATCTCAAAGGTCTAGTTTTGACGTGGGAAGTATGTGGCAGGGTGCCTCTCCAGGGGTGGCCATGAAGCCCCTGGAGTACCTGCAGCCTTCGCTTTATGGGTAATCACCCCTTCGGTTGCCCACCATGCTTTGATGTCTTATTACTTTTGAGGGAGGCTGCCCCAGGGCTTCCCAAATTTCTCTCTCAGATGACCACCAGGTGCCCATCGTCACTGCCTTATGGGCTATAGATCCATTCATTCCCTACACCATGCCCCATGCCTCGTAGAGGGCATCCTTGCTGCTGTTCACTTCCACTTCACCTCTCCTCTAGGCTTCCCTGGACCCTCTCTGGTTCTACACTCTCAGCCTCTCAATAGGCTCCTGAACCCTCACTGGTCCCATACTCTCAGCCCCTTAATCTGGGCTTCGGACCTCTCCCTGGGTCCCTAGGAACCTTGCCCCTTTCAAACCTCCAGAATGCTTTAGGTGTTACCCTTCCATGTTGACCTTCTGGAGCTGTAACCATCCTGCTGAGGTGGGGTGCTCTCAGAAGGTTCCAAGATGTTACTAATGGCTTATCTCAGGGCCTGGGCTTTTATCTTCCTCCTAAGTCAGATGACTGCAATCAGCTCAGCAGGCAGCTTCAGCCTCAACCTGCTTACTCCTAAAGTGTCAGGAGCACCAAGCCTCCTCCCACAAAGTAGTCCCTTGTGCTTAACAGAAGGCTCACATCAGACGCTAACTCCACAGAGCAGTAACTTTCCTTAGTAGTCTTGAAGCAATTCTAGAGAAACTGCCTCACCTTTGTTCCCCTTTTTCCATCCATCCACTTCTGGGCTGGAGCAAAAGGGAAGGAGGACGTAGAGGCGGAGTAACTGCCTACCTCTAACACTGCTTATTCCTGATTCTAGCTCCTCTGTCCTCGGAGCATTTCTTTGGATAGGGACCTATTCTTAAAGAACCTCTAAGATCTCCGAGAACAGTTTTGAAAAGGATGGTGCCAATTCAGGTCAAACACAAGTCAATAAGCGTCTCTGCTTTTGGTGCAATTAACCAATCCCCATTAAATTTCCAAGGCCAGATGGACTGGACTTTCTCACTGGGAAGTCCAGAAGAGCCCTTGTAGGCTCTTGGGTGCCCAGGAAGTTAGCCTCGAGGGCCCCTTACCACTGCCTCCACCATCCATTAGAACTTTGTCTGGCTCTCTGTACACCTTCAGCAACCTGGCACCAGGAAGAAGGGTGGGGTGGGGGGGACACTGCTGGTAACTGCATCAACAGCAGAGGGCAATGAAACAGGATTGGATGGCTCAAGTGAACACCCTGGAGGATTGGCCTCTCTTCCCAACAGAGGGAAAAGAGATTATATTTGCTATTTCCCTGAAAGGACACCCTGTCTCTTGAGCCAACGTTGCTTTCTAATGGCTTCAGCTGTATAATTCCTGGGCTGGGAAGTGATATATGGGGCAGACAAAGGACTTCTAGCTTTAAAACAAGTTGATCTTGTTATCCAGAATGAGCAGAGAAAAGCAGCTTTTTCCATACTGGCTTCTCTCGTTGTCCATCTGCCACATGAGAGCCAGGGAGGGACACATGCTGCTATACTGCTTCAGGAAGAAAGAGAAGCCAAGAATCAAAAGGTTCAGTTCCAGAAGCCAGCCAACAAGTGTGGTCAGGATCCAGGCAAACTGAAAGCCAACGTGCATGTCCCAAACCACTGACAGAGGGGCCGACATCTACTCCCAAGAACTAGGCAAGTTCAAGTGTCCCTGTAGGCTCTGTGGACCTTCGCCATGTTGAAGATATCAGACTCCATTGCAATTTTAATGAGGCTAGGGATATTAATTCCAGTGTCCTGCACATATGCCCACTTAGACTAGCAGCAAGTCAAGATCAGCTACTGATCTCACTTCCTGTCTTAAACTTCCCTGGTGGTGTTATGTATCACTTAATAGTTGCAGTTTCTTACCTCAGCAGTTCAGTGGTGGGAGAAAGGAATCCTACACAGTTATAAAACTGTGGTGGGATCCTCTTGGATAAAAGGTGCTAGAAAAAGGAATGCCAGGAATTATAAGGTGGTTTTCAGCAAATGGAGAAGCACTTTTGGCAACTGTATTCCTCTAGCACAAAAAAACCCCAACAACAACAAAACAAATTTTTCATTTGTGAGTTATCTAGAGAACTAGCACTGAAGAGATTTGACTGCCTCAAGCAAGCTTTGCCTTTGCTTTTCTGCTCTCACTGCATTCACAGGAGCAGACTGCAAAAGCTGCAGGAGCTTGCCTTAATAAGCCCACAACCAGCCCAAGACATCTGGTGGTTATGCCAAGGCATTTCATCTTCAAGATACAGAAAAGGGAGCAATGCAACTCAAGAAGAGCCCATGGTCTTTGGGAGAAGAAAGCTTTAGTTCAGTCCCTTTTAATCATTCCTGGCAGATATCCATCTTCTCAGCCTCAGCCCAAAATAGCTTCATGTCTAAGGAGATGAGCAACTTAACTCTTGAGGGGCTATAGGGATTTGGGGAGGGGCACAAGGAAGAGAGACTGCTATCATTTTAAAATGGAATACATGTTTCACTCCTAGAGCACTCTCCATCTCTGGCTCTCAAGGCACTTTGCAAACCCATTAGATTAGCAATAATACATATGGCTCAGACCTTCTTTTCAGAGATGGATACAGTGACATGCTGAAGACAGGTCATGGGGCCAAGGCCACTAGGCAAATCAGGGGCAAAGGTGAGAAGCCAAGACTAACTTTCTAGCTCTGGGAGAGACAAGAGGGCCATATGTAGGACACTGCAACACTTCTCCCCTTTAAAAGAGCAGCGTTAAAAGCGGACAACCAGGTGAGCTCCCAGTTTACGGGAATCTTGGAGAGTGAAATTCAGCTTCTATAAAGGACAATCTGATTCTGGTTTAATTAGCTACTGGACTCTGCATTTTTACCCCTTTTGGCAGCCTATGCCTCTCTGGCTGACTAACTAGAGTACAGGCATCATCACTTTTAGGCTAAAAGGTTTTTACTGAATAGATCCATTAGCAGGCACCCTGAGAAGGCAGAGGCTCTCATTTCTTGCAGTCAATAGGGCTCTCCTCCCACACACAGTTACATTTATTGGTATCAGAAACTGTCAAGAGAAGGTGTCAGCCAGAATGCTGCTCATTAAACTGGGTTTATTTTCTGCCTGGATTGGTTCTCCAGGCACTTCCAAAGCTCCATTCCCAGCCACAGCAAGTTTGCTCAATGGTCCATTAAATGCCAAAGGGCTTTTTACTTTTTAATCTATTCATCATAGGTTTCCCTTTACCAAAAATCAATGAAGCCTGTGACCAGACAAGCAACTTGTTAACACTATGCTCAAGCATGGCTGAAGTGTGCAATTCACTTAGGTGACTCCAAATGTGGGCAACGCTGGCTAAATATCTTCAGTGGAGATAAAACACTGATTGCATTTGCTGCAGGTGCACTACCTCCACCCAAGGCTGGCCTGGCAGTAAAACTAAAGTGTCTGACTACCTACTGCTTTTTTTCTTGTTTTGGAGTTGGAGACAAATCTCAGCTAGGAGGCCATGGTTTAAAACATACTGAAGGCTATGTCTTCACTGACAGAAGTTTTGTTCTCCAGTGAAACAGATCTCGCAACAGCAACATGAGCTTGCCCAATGGCTACCTTCCCTCTCAATCAGTTATCTGTACCCGTTTAATCTACAAGAACAGAACAACTGCTAAAGATAAAGAGCAAGTCAAGTAGACTCAACAGTTACTGACAAGAATAGCGGCAGTTGGGTAATATTAGAGATAGATGACCATGCCAGGAAGTGATGAGATACCAGGAAGAAAGCAAAATGGAGACCACTCCTAGGCTTTGCTTATGTCAAAAAACATTTTTGAATGACCACTTTAAGTTGTCATCACCTTTTACTAACACATGAGGTCTCTGTTGGGCTCTTTTTTCCCCACTTCTCATTTAAAACCTTAGTTTATTAATTCAATGGCAGCTTTTTATCGGTAGTAATTGAATTATCTAGTAGTAACTGACCAACAGGATCAAAGTAAAGGCAAAAGTTCTGTGATACAGTTTTTAATACTAACAATTTGGTTGCAGAGGCCTTGATCTAATTAAGCACAGAATTAAATTAGCTGGTCTCTGAAGTACTGCAAGTAGAACACTTTGTATTTAGAAGTCACTGTTAAAAATAAAAGCAACCATTTAACATGGAACATAACAATGGGCCAACTCTATCAGGTCACAAACTGGTTTAGGTCAAAAGGCAGTTTGTTGGAGTGTGGCAGCCTTATTAGGAGCAGTCCATCTGGCTCTGCACTTTTGTGGTCTTCCTTTCAAAGCAAAGCAGAAAAGTGAATTTAATTAATGTCTGTGACATGCTTGGAGCATACAGCACACTGTGGAAGTGCTGAGTATCATTTATTTTGAGTTGGGGTACATCTTTTGGATCTTCCCACCAAGATCTCCATTTCAAAATAAGAATTTAGTTTTGAGAAGGTGGCTTGCACATTCCATGGCAGTGACAAGCTTCTGATCTCATGTCTATTATAAGCCTTGGGCGGTTTAAAGCAGTGTCGCAGGGGGCATTCAAGGTTCCAATCCCCTTCTCCCCTCCTGCCCTTGCCTCTCCCCCACACACACACCAGGAGTCTTTGGTTAGCTCAGAAGCTGTTTCGGACTTGTTACAAGTAATGAGGAGCAGTGTGCTGTCTATAGACGAAATCACAGCAGGGCCCAGCCCCTCCAAGCAGAAGAAAAAAAAGTTGGCCGACATCCACAGTTCAGAGAACAAGTGGACTTAAGGGAAAGAACATCACACCTAGAGTGCTGCCAAGGTCTTAGAGAAAACCATTATAAAAAGAAGTCACTGGATTTTACATAGCACTCAGTCATGGGCCTGTTTACCAAGAGGAAAGCATCAATATTTAGCAGTTGGGACAGGAGATTGGGGGGGGGGGGGACAACACCAATTAATTCCTAGGTTTTTTTTCCAGATCTGAGTTACTGTG